TCTGAAAAAGAAGAAACAAAAGTCCTCAAATGGATTGAAGACCTCGAATAACTTAAAAAAATTCAGCCAAAAATTCTCGGTAAATAGAAAATTCAACATGAAAACCGCGAATGTGTGGTGAAATCAATGAACTTAGTTGGGTTTGGTTCGGATAGGCAACTAACTCTAGGCAGCCACAACTAGGCAACCCCTCTCCCTCGTTACTGTCATCAACCCCCCTCTCATCTACCGCGGTCCCATTTAATGGACCATCATTGAAAAGCTTGTTTCGAAAAGTGCCCAACTCTGAAAAAGAAGAAAAAAGTCCTCAAATGGATTAAAGACCTCAAATAACTAAAAAAATTCAGCCAAAAATTCTCGGTAAATAGAAAATTCAACATGAAAAACGCGAACGTGTGGTGAAATTAATGAACTTAGTTGGGTTTGGTTTCGGATAGGCAACTGAACTAACTCCCTGATGAACCGGAAAGTATCCGTGGGATTTGAAGGCACTCTAAACGGAGACCGTGCTCTGGAAAAGTTTTCCAATGACGCCTTTACTATGTCGATGCGAATAATTGATAAACGAATTAAGACGCAAATCGGCAGCAAGACGCATGCCGATTGCTGCTGGCAAAATTGCCGGCGATTCCTGACTGCACTGGGAACAAAAGTCTCTTGGATCCAAAGTACAGATTCTTACTCTGGATCCAAAGAACTTTTTTTCCAGGAATATTTCCCACCAACCCGGTGGCTCGTGTTCCTTGTAGCTCACTTTAGAAAGTTTACTATGCACCAAAAATTACACGAATCTTCCTTCGATGTGCGAACTGAAGTTTATGATTGGCTCTGATCTCACTGCTACTATGAAAGTCACTTGCTTTGGTAAAAAGCTCTTTAATATGTTCCACAAATGGGTAGAGCTAAACAAAACAGTCATAGCTGCATTTCAGTGTTTCGATTTTGTATCTCTTATTTGAATTTTTTGGAAGGAAAACGACCGAAATTTTTGCTTTTTATGTTGTGGCGAGGACTTCCATATGTACTTATCAACAGAAAAACTGCTACAAACTTTTTAAAGATGATACTTTGGATGGTTTCCTTCCTTAACCGTAAAATAAGAGATGAGATTTCAAAACATTGCAATGTAAACATGACTATTCTGCTGAACTCTATCCAAATGATCTGAACGCAGAATGATCTCCCAGAATTTTCCAAACGTAACCGTCGCGAGAGTTGTAATTCTTGAAATTCGAAAAATACACGGCCGGCGGCCCTTGAAAACTCCTTTGGTGAGTAAGATACGCGAATCTACGTGGCCTATCCATCAGAATTACTCATATTTTGCCTGACAGAGCAGTTCTCATGTGCTCAGGAAAAACAATGTATGAACCTTCAAATGTTGTCAAATTTCCCAGAATAAAACTAACATGTTTAGCAGGGCCGGATTCACGTACTTACCGCTCATGGGCCGCTTTTATTTTGTCGCCCCCTTCTCACTCGTTTTGAAACATCAATGAAAACCATCAAGTGAACGTGCCGGAGGGGAAAGGGTACATAAGACGCGTTTACTCGTGTTGGATACATTTTTTGCGAAAGCCCTGTCAACACTATACTAGCAAAAGTTCGTGGAACTTTGCGCGAAAGTTTAATTCAATAAGCCTACCTCTGTGTAGACAAGGCCTTCCATTTATAAGAAATTATCAAAAATATTATGGAAGAACAATCATAAATGTGGTTTAATAATTTTAACTTCTGCCATCGCGCCGCGGTGACCGCACTGTGTTTGGCGCAATGCGTGAAGTATTCATGCAGTCTTGTAGGCGCTATGCGTTTCACGCTGACTGCACTGTCTTTAACGCAATGCGTGAAGTATTCATGCAGTCTTGAAGGCGCTAATATGTGTTAAATGCCGTCCGCCGCGCCGAGGAAGGACTTCTCCTATTCATCTCAAGTCCTCGTCATCATTGCTCTCTGCGCGGCGCCGCTCCAGGCCAAATTGCGTGTTCGGTTTCTCTCTTAACCCGACTTATTGAAGGTGCTGTCTCTTATATCACCGAAAAACGGCAAAATTATAAATTACTCAGAAAATGAGAGATTTTGCCGCCTTTTCTCGTTTGTAATTTTTTTTTCTGAATCCGATTTTTTTCATACGTACATATAAAATAAATGCAAAGTTTGCTGCCCCCTGAAATTGCCGCCATGGGCCGCGGCCCATGTGGCCACCCCCTGAATCCGGCCCTGATGAATAGGGAAATTAACGATTTTTTTTCAATTCTTTATAGGAACTTTTCCCTAAATTTAAATTGGCATATTTTTTGGAAATCATAAGTTCAAGGCTATTCAAGTATTACGCCAGGCATTTAGGCCGAATTTCCGACACACCTGGTCTTGGCCTGTAAGGAACCTGTACGACAGACTCTCGCTCCTTTTTTTTTTGAATTACTTAAGACCGGCCCACCCCACCCCTCTCCAATTTTTAGGAAATAAAGAATTTAGCTTAAAAATAGATGAAAAAGTTGATTTATATTCGAATTTTTTTAAACAAATGAAGGTTTACATAAGACCAGGCTTGACCTTCCCCCCTAATCCTCCCTCCCCTCC